CAAGCAATCATACTACCCATATCGAACCTATCGGCAACTGATCAGATCGTTTTTGATTTTGCTAATGTACGTCATAGCACAACCCATCTTTGCGGCCCTAATGTGGGCATTGCAACACTACTCTCGTGTAACATGCAATCGGATCGAAATTTTTCCAACCCGGTCATAACTCTATTGGCTGAGATGTGCAAGGTTTTGATGCCTGCTCTCAAAAAATCGGTTGTGCTATATTGTGTACAGGCAGAATCAAACATGATCACCTCAGCTGTCCGACGGCCAAGTGCTTGCGTTCTACCTGTGCTGAGGTCCTGGATTCGATCCCCAGTCAGGTCGATAAATCAATCCACAGCCGAGCAGCTGTCCGGTAGGTTCTAGTTTTTTTCGGTTCACTTGCTTTGTTTGTTCTGTACTTGACAAAATTGCCAATCAATGATCAAACTAAATCTGCCACTTCTCTAGTGAGCGTTTCGGGATGACATATGTGCTAGTGTAACCATGTTCGGCACACGTAATGCATCTTTGAAGCGTTGCCATAGGACGGAGTTGGTCCAGCTCCCAACCTCNCCTCACTGTAAATGGTCAAGTAATAGAGCAGGCGGACGAGCTTTGTTATTTGGGCAGCTATATTCAATCCGGTGAACTTTTCACGGAGGAAGTGTCTGCTCGCATACAGAAGGCTCGATTGGCATCTACTAACATGCGACATCCGAGGCGCCCCCGCGACTTCTGGCTGTCCCTGGACGGTCGAGTGCATGCTGCAGCACTTTGATCAGTCTTGCTTTATAGTGCAGATACTTGGCCATTATGGGAACAGGATGAAACTAGATTGCCGGTGTTTGAACACTGCTGTATACGCCGCCTAGCACGTGTCTGGCGAAGAAACCGGACGAGCAATGCTGAGGTTAGGTGCAGAGTTTTAAGTGATCGTGATCGTCCACTGGAGCACGTTGTCGACCTCCATAGATAACGCTGGTTGGGACGTGTTGCACATACCACCAAAGAGACTGTCACGGCGTGCCGATGCCGGTAAGGAACAAGAAAACGGTCAGGGGGCGGTCAAACTACGACCTGGCTTGAAGATATGAAAACCCTGACCCGTAGTCTCGGTTACATAGGTCGCGTTAGGCTTCCTGGACGGGAACCTCGGGATCGTCGCAACTGTTGGTTGTAACCACCGAGTATGGCTAAAACTGGTGCTCGTGCATCCTTGTAACCTTAATCCATATGAATTCACTATTTTCATTTTGGCTCTCAGCATTCCAATCCTCCTGCTCCTTTATCCAAATAGGCATACAACAACCAAAACCGGCACACGGGATTGCATGGTGTATGGTTGTAAAAACTGGAACTGAACTACTCTCTATACGTTCGCAGTTATTATCCCATTCATTCATAATTTTCTTTTACCAGTTCCGTCTTTTTTCCTATTTTCTCTATCCCAACCCCGCTCCCGTTATTGTTATTGTTATTATTGTTTTTGACGTTGGCACCATGCTTGTCCGCTAGCCGGTGTTAAATATAGTTATATGTATACATCACAGTTGTACCTGAAAATGGAAGTCTGATATAATCAATATCAACAATGCTAATTGTTATCGAGAAGGGAATTATTTCTAATGGTCGATCATTGTTTTGGTTTTGTTCCATCTCATTGTCGGATATCACCACCTGACACAATACGCACCGTGGACTCCCCGTGCAGGATTTCACTGATCTCACATCGTTAACGACTTTTGGATTCCGGGGTGAGGCACTGGCCAGTCTAAGTCACGTTTCGTTACTGACTGTGACCACACGTACGGCCGAGCAGAACTGTGCCTATCGATTGACCTACCGAAATGGTAATCCGGTCGGGAACGCGGCACCCTGTGCTGGGAATACTGGGACCACAATTTTGGCTGAGGACCTGTTCTATAACACCCCAATCCGACGTGCTGCATTGCGTAGTCCACGCGAGGAGTTTGCTCGGGTGGCCGAGGTAGTGGCACAGTAAGCTCCGTTCTGTTCTGTTTCTTTTTCCTCGTTTTTATCAGGGCTTTATTATCTACCTGTTTCTCCTTGGTGCTATTTGTAATTAATGACTAATCTGGACAGAGTGCTAGACCGCAGTCCTCAGATTGACTGAAGCTTAGACACGAACCCCAATTCTGATTTCCGACATCTAGAAATGGGTAATCGAAGTGTACTGATGGAAAAAATCGCGTACCAGCCAATCATTGTCATGATCGTCATACCTTACAGTATGTTGGCCAATCTGATTCAGTGTTTATATAAACGGAACAGATAAAATGAAGCGGGAACGTTCACAAAAAGACCAATAATAGGAACAAGGGGCATTCACGGTTACAATTTTTTGGTCGAGGAGTAATGATCGATTTCAGCACCACGGATCTCGGCGGTGGGGACCATAGACCATGACTAATCCACACACACGTGAAATTTAATCTCACAGACGCGAGGAACCAAGGTGGGCGGACAAACCGGGGACAGTCGGGAATCGTTGTCACGCCGTCGAATACAATCAGAACAAGATGATGTATGAGTAAGACCGATAGTATATGGTGTTCAAATGCTCAGTAAGAGGTAGACTAGTGTGAATCTGTTGTCCTTCTGAAATATGAAATTGTTTGGCTCTACCCGCGCTAGTGAACCGCTGGCGGTTGACCTGGGAGATTTGGCTAAAACCAATCAAGAAAGAATTGACGAATCAGACGCACCTTCCTGGTTGTGGCAGTGGTCATCGGCTCGATTAGTCATCGAGGTTCATTGGGCACATCGGACGTTTGACCCCGTCCAAAGGGCTTATGATCCGTTGAACTGGACACCGCCCAGCTGATTTGCGGGTTATGCTTTGACTAGCGAAAGCCTCCGGTTGTGTAGTCACCAAGACGATTTACCTATATTGACCTGGGCAACCTGGAACTATTTCGCTTTCGTGCAAATCATGGTACATTTTTTAAAATAAAGATTATTGCACCATGATTTGTTTGACACAGTTTGAATGATAATATATTACCCAAGTTAGTGCTACTTAGAGTGTTGTTTTTGACGAAACACAAACACGAGTTGATTTTCGATGATAAGTCGACAATTACTGATCATGAGAATCAATGACTATTTATCGGTTTGTTCCAGTTTTATCGTTTTCCAAACACACACAAAATGCTTGACTGATTGATCAATAGTGACTGTCATTGCATCGGTACATTTCGATTTCACTGACGGGACAATTTCATGCACTGCTTTTAGGTGTGAATCGCGGATTGACCGTTGGGGTGTAAGCTTTGCCAGGATCATTGATAAAATAAGTCATGTGATGCGAAAAGGGGATCAAGAAAAGCACGAGGTCATCGTGGTCCCGGGGCAGTTCACTAAAAGGGTCATCGAGATATGTGATGGATCGCAAGCAGAACTGGTGTATGACGCTTAGAATAAATAATAGATGCAACTTAAATAATTCCTTCCGGGGATATAAAGTGAATTTCCCTGTTCAAGTTAAATTGCGTATCCGTTTTTCTGTTTGAAGCTGTTTTCTCTCGCTCATTTTTACCAACTGCCCGTTTTTCTAGACTCTTCTCATTAAGCGTATTTTTAATAGTGTTTACTAATCTTCTCTGACCACCTCGTGTTTGTGTGTTCACGTGTTGTGTAGTTACATACACTCACATGATCCCAATTCCTTGTATCTGAAACTTTATCATGTGGCCTAATTACTCCCACTCAACTGGAGTCTGTCCAGCATACCAGATACATCTTCCTGTAGACATGTTAATCGTTAGCCGTTGTCGGTACAAAATGTTCACATCGTGTATAGCATCGTATACACCCAACATGTTGCCTCCTGTCGTGTTGGGAGTCTGATCATTCTCGGCTGCATCCAACCGATCCTGTATGCTTTGTTCAAGATCATACACAACCAATTTGGTTTTTATTCTCGGTTAGACGCTTAGATGCCGTTCAGATCATCTTACCCTGTCGTGGTTGTGCATAGTTTGACTGATCGAAGTGCTCAGGGTTTGGTTAACGAGTGACAGTTGGTGTTCCACGTGCGTCAAGGCTTTGCTAAGCTTCTCTTGGGCTCTTCATCCGCCGATCCATTCATTTATTGAGACATTGTGTACGGGTAGATCGAATCTCCCTAGCTGTTATCATCATGTGATAGACTATGCGGGAGCTCTCAGACAACGGCGAAAATTCTACTTGACCGGGTCTTCCGGTCCCCTTGATCAGTCTGTTCTGTTGAACTCTGCAGTGGTACTATTGAGACAGAAAACAATATGAAAATATACAACCGTACAATCGTACTTGTATTCCATTCGGTTTTACTCTCCGCTATTCTCCTTCTGCTCAGATACGCGATCCATTATGCACCCAAGTGTGGTTTTCATTTGCGTTCTGCGAACGCTGGACCTGCGAACACGGGCAGTGGTAAGTCACTGACACAGTGT